GTGGAGGGGAGGGGTTTTTTTGCTTAAAATATGATTCCAGATGCATTCCAATGCATTTAGATGCATTCTGGCACGATCCGATGCAGCTAAAATGGGCAAGTAGTATTCTGGCTGCATGGGAACGGACTGCTCTGGTGTGAACAGAGCACAAGAAATACCATAGGAAAGCATTGTAATGCCTTTTTGATGCAGCTGGAAAATGGAACAGACTGCATCTGGTGTGAATTAGCCCTGCGATTTTCTTTGGTTTGCTCTCAGGCTGAAAGGAAAAATAAAATGTAACAAATTCCTCCATCCATGCTAAACCGCATGAAGGAATCTCCCACTGCGACTATTGTATTTTGATAGCTGGCCCTGTCAAAATACCTGACCAGTGCCTGCATCCGATAGGATGGATGTCAGACAGGAGCTGGCAGACCTGGCCACCTACTGAGGGAATCAAGGACTTGCCGAAAGTCACTCGGTGTATAGTCAGCTTATTGAAGGCATTCTCACAGAACAAAGACTCTGCAGCACAAAAATCAATGCTTCTAAGAAAAGGTACAAGTCAAAGGTAAATTCATTAAAAAAAATAAAGAGTCGGTCAGGGCTTAGTCATGGAGCATCTCTTTATGTGATTAAATGTCTCCATTCTCACAACCATTTCTAGCAGAGGGTATCTGAAAATAATAACCCATTCACCACAGAGCACATATTGCTTTGTTTGGACAGAAAAGTTCTAGATACAAGTCAGCCAAATGCAATCCTTCTAAAGCAGGGGTAGCCAAACTCCAGCCCTCCAGCTGTGGTGAAACTACAAATCCCATGATGCTTCTCTCCGGGAGTCATGACTGTGGCTGTGAGAATCTTGCAACGCCTCCCGACACCACAGCTGGAGGGCCGGAGTTTGGCTACCCCTGTTGTAAAGAATTATGGGCTGGGTTTGCAATGGAGAGATGGTTCATTTTCACTATCTCCTATTAATAGTTTAGATATGAGCTGCTCCCTCAATAGGACTAAAATAAACATCTGCTTTAACATTCATTTTTGTAAAGCATGCTTAAAAATAAAAGATGCTTACTAAGAGGCACTGCATATTTCAGCTGCAGCTCATTTAATAAGCCTATTCTTTGCTGAAACAACTGGCACCAAACTGAAACACATACTGTATATAGGCATGTATAAGTGGCAATCTAAATAGTGATGTGCTGATTTATGGATGATGAACAGCAGAAGCGGAAAACAAATTCCTCATCAGTGACAAGAATGCCCCCATATATTGGTGGTCAGTGGGAAGAATGCCCCTAATGCCCCTCGCATTGGGGAACAGGAAGGGAAGGTGGAGAATGCCCCTCGCATTGGGGAACAGGAAGGGAAGGTGGAGAATGCCCCTCGCATTGGGGAACAGGAAGGGAAGGTGGAGAATGCCCCTCGCATTGGGGAACAGGAAGGGAAGGTGGAGAATGCCCCTCGCATTGGGGAACAGGAAGGGAAGGTGGAGAATGCCCCTCGCATTGGGGAACAGGAAGGGAAGGTGGAGAATGCCCCTCGCATTGGGGAACAGGAAGGGAAGGTGGAGAATGCCCCTCGCATTGGGGAACAGGAAGGGAAGGGGGAGAATGCCCTTCGCATTGGGGAACAGGAAGGGAAGGGGGAGAATGCCCTTCGCATTGGGGAACAGGAAGGGAAGGGGGAGAATGCCCCTCGCATTGGGGAACAGGAAGGGAGAGGAGAATGCCCCTCACATTGGGGAACAGGAAGGGGAGGGGGAATGCCCCTCGCATTGGGGAACAGGAAGGGGAGGGGGAGAATGCCCCCTCGCATTGGGGAACAGGAAGGGAAGGGGGAGAATGCCCCTCGCATTGGGGAACAGGAAAGGAAGGGAAGGGAGGGAGAATGCCCCTCGCATTGGGGAACAGGAAAGGAAGGGAAGGGAGGGAGAATGCCCCTCGCATTGGGGAACAGGAAGGGAAGGGGGAGAATGCCCCGCACATTGGGGAAAGGGGAGAATGCCCCCTCGCATTGGGGAACAGGAAGGGAAGGGAGGGAGAATGCCCCTCGCATTGGGGAACAGGAAAGGAAGGGAAGGGAGGGAGAATGCCCCTCGCATTGGGGAACAGGAAGGGAAGGGGGAGAATGCCCCGCACATTGGGGAACAGGAAGGGAAGGGGAGAATGCCCCTCGCATTGGGGAACAGGAAGGGAAGGGGGAGAATGCCCCTCGCATTGGGGAACAGGAAGGGAGGGGAGAATGCCCCTCACATTGGTGGGCAAGAATGCCACCCTTTCAGACGGCTAAAAAGATCAATGGTGTCATGTTGCTGGCTCGGCTAAGCAGTGTTGGACCCAGAACCATACAGGCACCATCAGATGGAAGGTCAATCAACCACAACTCAAGGAACCCCTAGCAACCTCTGGAGAGACCCTGGTTGAGAATCTCTAAACTAGAGAATGCTTCTGATAGTTTGTGACAAATGAAATGAAAGAGTAACGTTGACACAGATCTAACCAATATTAGCTGCACAGTGTTACATTTCAGAAGTAACATTGGGCTGGACAAGCAGGCTTCATGTCTCAGGCATGCTAGGACAGCTGTACAATCAATGGATCCATCAGGAAAATGAAAGTAGATTAGTTCGTGGACACGGAAGTCGTTTACTGCATGTCAATGAATGAGATGAAAGTGTGACTCTTGTCACCTTCACATGTGACCCAGCTGTCACGTGCTCCATTATACCAAACTTATTTAAAGTGCCCGCTCCCCCTCCTTCCTGACAGCTGTACCTGTCTTCCTCTGGATGTTCAGCCTTAGCAAATCCCCACTGGACAGGTGCTTGAGTGCGAAGTGTTTAACGATCCTATCCGAGATCGTGCCTTTCCCCGATCCTGGAGGGCCCATGATCACCGCCCGAAACAACATACGAACCACCATTATGCTGAGGACCTGGGGCTGCTGATCCCCTGCACAGAGTTAAAAACTAGATGGCCAAAAATGCAACCGCTGCCTCCGCAGATCAGGAGGGGTGTGCAAGCATGTATGCGATCTTCTGTAAATCAGCTATTAAAAACAGATAAATAAAAAAACTTCCAAAAAAGTGCAGGGAGCTACATGTATAATGCTGTGCTGCGATGAAGTCCCAGTACCCCCCTCCTGCAAGGACTATGTTCTTCCACCCTCCTCCCTGTCCCTCCTCCCCCTGTCCCTGCTGACGCTGTTAGAGGAGGAGGAGGAGATCAGCAACAAACAGCTAATGTAGTCCACAGGGCTGCAGGAGCTTTTCACTGTTTTCTACTTTCTCATCTGATAGGCTAAAGGGACAGAGCCCTGACCTGTAACTGCCCTATTTACATGCAAGAGATGTGACAAGCAAGGGTCCAGCTGGCTCCATTGTGCACGTGTGCCTGCCAGGGACATCACTCAGGGACCTGCAGTCTTTTCATACATTCAGCTCACTTTTATGGCTGCTCTAATGCAAAATTCTCTGTTTAGCTTTTTACAGAGGCACTTTTCAAACTGGTCCTATATTCAGTCTGGAAAAGGTAATATGTGTTTGGGCATACATAGGGATGTGCATGGGATTGGTGCAAACCGAGTTCACCAAGCTCCAGCAATGCTGTCAGTGACCAATCGAGGGTGGCCGTGCCATTGCCCGCTACACGTAACGAAAAGCCCAGGCGACTGATGCAATGTGGCCCTACAGTGGCATATAAATTGCCTTGGCGATACAAAGCGCCAAGGCAATGTATATGCCACTGTAGGGCCGCATTGCATCAGTTGCCTGGGCTTTTTGTCATGTTTGGCAGGTGGTGCTGCTTGTCAAACGAGATCATTGCAATCACTAGGACCATGCTTCACGTGTGTGGGTACAAGGCTTTGGCGCAGTATTCTAATAGAAGATCCCTAGTGAGGTTAAAAAGAAAAGAAACTGCATTTATGAGTCTACAGCTCTCCAAAAAGCCACTGCAAGACACTTTTCATGGGCAGTGGAGGCTGCCACCCATGTGAATGAGGCCTAACAGATACATTTTCAGGACTACCTCCTCCTTTTAAGGTCCAAGCAGTACTGATGCAAAAAGAAGTGTACTTATGACTAGGGGTCTACATGGGCTTGGTACAAACCGAGTTTTGTAACAGCAATTGCCGTGGCTGCATATTCATTTAAACTGTTAATTTTAAACTGTTAAGCCTATAAGACATCAATTCACATGAGCCATACACCAGTGGTTAGCATGTAATCATACATGGAACAATGACCCACAGTTAGGGACAGATTTGTGGCTCTGGACAACAACAGTCTGCATTCAGAGCCATGCACAGGAGAGCCTGTCATTGATTTGTTCAGGCTTCCTGTCCGTAGCTAATAGAAATCACCTGGGTGTACCTGCCACATACTGATCTGGGTGGTGTATGGCCATAAACAGCCTTGTACATGACACTTTAAAAAAAAAATGAACTTTAAAAACGACTTTAAAAAAAAACTGTCACATGACAATAAACAAGAATGTATCAGTACTTGTATCTGTGAGTACTTGGTCTGGAAAAAATGGTATATATATATTTACCGTATGTGTGTAGAGAGAGAGAGAGAGAGATAGAGTATCTGTACTTATACCAAGTATGGTACTTGGTCTGGAAAAAATGGTATCGGTGCATCCCTAATATTAATATGTGTGTGTATATATATAGCTCTTTTGAAAGTCACTTTGATAAACAAGGACTTGTAATGTTCCACGCTAAATAAGAGTGCATGCACTCGTACCATATTCAGAACCAAGAATGTCTTGGCAATGGTCCCACAGTCACATGCATATACCATCAGAATGTTTGCTCTATTTTTAAACGTTGGTGGAAAGATGGAGTTTAGCTAGAAGTGTCAGTCATTTACTGAACAATACAGCATGTGATTTTTAAAGCGACTGTTTTGCTAAAAACACTTTCTTAAACATAGGGCTCTGTGTAAAGAAGTGAGATACTTCATACCCACCTTTCTTGCTCCCCTTGATGTTGATTGCTGCAGTATTAAAGTATTACATTCAGGAGTTAAACTTTAAAAATGCATTTAAGTAGCATAAATATTAACAAAAATTTAACTTTTTTTTGTGTATCACTCGACTGTAGATCCCCAAATCTCTGAATTCATGCTGACACTGTTCTTCCCTCTGGAGGGTGGCTACTTTGGTTCCCCATGGTCCCTGTGTTGTGAAGAAGCCACCTCACCGATCTCATTTCCAAGATGGACTACAATCTCAATACACATTAGTAAACTAAATATGAGATTGTAGTCCATCACAGCAGTGAGCTTGGAGCGGTGGCTAATTTTCAACACACACAGGGACAATGGGGAACAAAAGTAGCCACCCTCCAGAAGGAAGGACAGTGTCAGTACCAATTCAGAGAAGATTTGAAGATCTACAGCCGAGTGATACACATAAGATACATTTTTGTCTATAGTTAAGGTACTTGGATGCATTTTTAAGATTTAACTCCTGAGTTTAGTTTCACTTTAAGAAGACATCGCTAAAGAATCATCATAAACTGACACTTCAAGGAGTGTGGGATTCCTTGTCGCTCTCAGTGGTTCAATCTGCTAATCCCTATGTTACTACTGTATCCTGTAGAGATGTAAAAGTCAGTTTGAGGAATCATAGAGCACAGCGGGGGACCAGGAATTTCACAGACAATCCTGCTGCCTTCTTTGTGTTATCTCTGCATAACAATTGAATACTCTTAGACAAGAATATACCTTATGCTGAGGACTCAGACGCAAATGCAAGTATGTGGGCATACAGCGTAAAATACACCTGTACTTGCGACACCTAGGAGCCCCACTGTTAGTTTTTTGTGTCCATAAGATTGTATGCACAGAGTACGCTGCATACAATTTTAAGTTACACATAAAAAAGAATAAAAAAAAAAAAATTAAGTCCCCCACCCATACATACACGCATGCAAACATGCGCCAGGGGCGCATACGTGCTAAAAAGACAATTGCGCCCATTACGCCGCACATGTTACATATCGCCGCGAACGTCGGAGTGAGAGCAATAGTTCTAGGGCCATCAATCACTGATAACACTAAACTGATGAGCAGTAAAAGCTTTTAAAGTGTCGCCTATGGTCAATTTTGGGTATGCTAGTTTTCTGCGATTTCGTGGGTGCGCGCAATTTTAAAGCATGACATGTTTGGTGTCTATTTACCCGACGTGACCCGATCTTTTATATTTTACCAAAAAACTGGGTAATAATAAATGTTTCCTAACATTATGTTAAAAAACAATTATTTCATGTTAGAGGACTGAGATGATGGCACTGCTCTGTTGCTGTAGAATTGAGCTGACTGCTTTGACAGAGGATTGAGATGATGGCACTGCTCTGTTAGAGGACTGAGATGATGGCACTGCTCTGTTAGAGGACTGAGATGATGGCACTGCTCTGTTAGAGGACTGAGATGATGGCACTGCTCTGTTAGAGGATTGAGATTGGGGCACTGCTCTGTCAAAGGATTGAGATGACAGTACTGGTCTGTTAGAGGACTGGGATGACAATACTGTATTGTTGAAGGATTGAGGTGACAGCACGTCTCTGATACAAAACTGAACTGATTATACTGTAGGATAGAGCAGCCAAGGGTACTGCTTTGATATGATGGGGAGCAAAAAGTACTGACTTTAGCTTGTGGATGCAGATAATGGTACTCCTCTTCTGCTGCAGAGGTAAGATGATGGTACTGCTTTATTGAAAAGTGACAATTATGACTCAGAGGGGTGCATCCTTATTTACTCCCAGACTGAGACACTAGTGTCCCCTTAATCCACGGAGCCCAGACAGGTGTTTCCCCTTTGCCACCAGAGCCCAGAAAGCTGTGTCCCTTTTCATCCTTAGTGTCCATTCAGGTGTGTCCCCTTGTGATGTGTTGCACCTTTCACCCTGATAGCTTAGTAAAGTGTGCCAACTGTCCCCCTTTTCTCACCATACACCATGACTGCCATACCCCTTGTCTCACCACCCATCATGCCTGCTGCCCCTCTTGTCTCACCACTGACTGTACCTGCTGTTCCCTTTCTCTCAATTTGCCTGCCATCCCTCTTCTCTCACTACCTACCATGCCTTCCACCCCCCTTCTCTCACCACCCACAATGCCTACTGTCCCCCTTCTCTCACCATCCATTTTGCCTGATACCCACTTCTCTCACTATCCACCGTGCCTGCCGCCCCCCCTTCTCTCACCATCCACCGTGCCTGTTGCCCCCATTCCTTCATCACCCAATGTGCCCGTAGCACCTCTTCTCTCACCACCTCCTGCTCTTACCACTATGCCTGCAGACCTCTCCATGCTTTCACCACCTCAACCTTGCCCCTTTTGAAACAGGCACACTTATGCTAGTGAATATAAAAGCATAGTCATGTCACTACACACGGACACCTTAGCATCCTCATGACTTGATATTATCAGCAACAGGATCGGTACAGACCACTTCCCTGCTTACGAACAGTATAATTCCCTTGCTGGCTAAACACCTCACTGGTTTTATGTGTTATAATTGTACTTATTTGATGTCTGCCAAACTGTTTCTGGTGTATCATTAGTGTACTGATTCTGTGTCTGCTGACATGTTTCTGGATGTGTCAGTATTGTACTTATTTTCTGTCTTCCAAAATGTTCCTGGTGTGTCATTAATGTACTAATTCTATGTCTGCTGACATGTTGCTTGTGTCAGATATGTCACTGATGTGTCAGTAGTGTGCTGATTGTGTCTCTGCGGACATGTTTCTGGTTTGTCAGTATTGTACCGATTCTGTGGCTATAGACATGTTTCTGGTGTGTCATTACTGTACTTTTAAAAAAAATCTCCACTGATATGTTTCTGGTGTGTCACCACAGTACTTATGTTGTGTCAATACTGATTGTATTGTATTGTGCTATTTGGTTTGAAATTAGGGATGCACCCCCTG